ACTAAGCATCTATAAGCATATGCAATACTTGTGCAGAGCTCCCAAGACCAAGTGACAACCAAAATAGGAAACAGATACGTCCAGTCGGTCGCAGTAGTACGCATCAACAGCAGCTGTTCAGGATGGTGTTAGTGAGTCAAAACAGCATGTATATGGGCAATAGACGTTGCGTTTCCGTGTAGTGCTAGATAAACAACAATGACAGAATGAGAACAGGGTGTGCGGCAACACATCAGCTCGCAACTTGGTTTCGCACAACCTATGTCTAGTTCCGCACTCGACGAATCAAAGGATCTGATTAGATGTAAAATTGCGCAAGGCGGTGGGCACTGCATTTATTGCGCGGGCAAATGTGGATGTACAGGCACAGCAAACGCTTGCTGCGCGGGTGGATGATGTGATGTGCGTGTGCTGATATGACTCCGTCCGCGTCCCAGCGATCTCCTGAGCACTTGTTAGGTGCTGGACCCCGCATTCGACCGGTCGTTAGCGCAGAAGCCGAGGTGGCAGCGAGCGCATAGTATCAGTGTTGCCCATGAGCCTGATCTTTGGAGCTTCATGGCTGATAGGAAGCGGACTTGACGGGGTAGCGAGTGTGCGTGTCCGGTCGTTGTTTTGTCGGTGATAGGATTGCGGTGAAGTGCGTTCTCAGAAATAAGAGACTGGATCTGACAAGGGGTCACTATCCCAGATTAGTGACAACACCTGGCGGTCAGGGAGGATTTGGATTGCCCGGCATGGATCCGCGCTGCTCGAATTAAATTGGGCCAAGGTAAAAGGGCATCCTATGTGGGTTGACGATGGATCCGGCATGAATAACGTATGGGAAGGCAGGATCCACCAAGTGGAGACTCGGATCCATCCTCACCTAATTACACCTAGGGGATATGGGATATACCATGTGCAGGTGGATCAAGTGGGGATTCTATGAAGGAAGGAAGGTAGGTGTCATCTGAAGGTGGATTTAGTATCAACGACAAACGATAAGGCAAGGTATACAACGATATGTCTCAGATCCTACTCTTCCGAGTCCGGATCCAAGGGGGTGAGGATCCCACATCGAGTGACCTGGATCCAGGATATGGGGATGGAGGATGCAATAAATCTCGAACTTTCGTGGAACGGTGGAGATCACAGACGGTCGTAATACAATGTTGGAAGATCGGAGAACTCAGATCCATGCAGAGCGTACACTTGTAGTGAGGTGGATCAAGGCGACGTGGATCCAGGATAGTGTGCCCATAATTTGGCGACCACAATGATTACGCCATGGATCCGGTGGATCTGAGGATAAAACAGCTGAGATGATGGACCAAGGAGAAAAAGGAAATGCAGCCGAGCCTGGTAAAGGATTTAGCAGGTAAAAGACATAGAAGGTAGAAATCCAGGCAGGTATAGGCTTAACTATTAATTATATTACTTTTGTGCCGAAAGCGCTACAGTAGCTACGGTATTTAGTCTCACTTATACTAATTTATGTGAGGTGCTGCAGACTCTGCTCACCTAAATTAGTATGAGTGTGGTTAATTATGCACTCTGACTATTTAAGGTGTGGTAGAATTAGTCACACTTAGACTAATTAATGTCTCACCCTAATTAGTCACACTAGTTTACGATTGTTGAGAAGCTGGTCTGGTTATTCTTTTGTTTTTTAGGGTGTTTGCTTGCCATATCCAATGGAACCGCTTGTCCAGCAAATTGATCTGGGAACTTCTTGATGATTACTTGAAGGTGGCTGAATAGCTGTTCAGTTCTCCATACACCATCAACATCCAGCGAGAGTCCGCATCGAATCATGGCTTTCCGAGCGTAGCTCACATTATTCTTGTCCCTTTGAGAGTTGACTTGGCGTACTGCTTTAGCAGCCAGGGACAGAAAAAAATGCTTTCCTGGATTCTTAAGTTTTCCTGACCAGGTTCCATCGGACCTCTTTTTGTTTTGCCATGCCTCCTCCTCAATCAACTCGATCTTTTTCTCATTCCACATTCGACGCCACTCGTCAGAGAACATGCTGTCCGAAGCCCTCTTGTCCGACAGGCTTCCCATAAAATGGGTGCATATGAACAGAGCAGATTGGGCAGACGTGAATAGGACCAACGAGGTCACCACAGCCACCACACGGGGAAAGTTGAGCTGAGTTGGAGCTCATTAAAAGACAGTTAAAAGAGGGAGAAGAGGCGTTGGTGTGTTGGAAGAATTTCTGGAAGTGAGAATAGACCACATTAGCCTCCAAAAGGCGTTGGTGTGTTGGAAGAATTTCTGGAATGAGAATAGACCACATTAGCCTCCAAGAGACGCAGTCACATAAAAATAACATTTCCAATTATAAAATATCAAATACTCTTCAAATAAGCTTAAGGCAACTCCATAGCTATTATTCTATTAAAAGTATAATTCATATCCTTAAAAAACATAACCCGCTGCTTCGTAGTGTGCCGCGTTGAGGGTAAGTGGGAAACCCACTTTTATTAAATGACCTGTTATTGCATCACCAGTAAAACGCGAGCTCCGTCCGTTGCTGCGGAGGGACTCGAACTCACGCCAGGAGTGTAAACCGGGCCAGTCTTTTCCACTGCGCCAATTCGAATGCCCAAAATAAGGTGATACTAATTATCAACTCAGACTAATTTTGAACACGACATTTTCTTGCTCACGGTAATTAGTCTCACATTCGAACGGTGTGACTAATTTCGAACTGTGACTATTTATTCACACAGACTAATTACCGTAGGCACTGTAGTTCGGGATCTGAGTATAAGAAGCAAGACCTGTTTTGGGTCAGAATGACTCGCCTTCTAGAACTCTGAATATGAAACCCAGAGAACAAAGTTTGCATTCATATGATTGCTCTAAATTGAATTTGTAACGAGAGTATCAGTTTGTAATTGTTTTTAATCGCTTTTTATCTAGTACTGATATTTAAATGTTTTAATCGCTGTAAATCTGCATTTAAATGTGTAAAACGCTAAAAACAAAGTATTTAACCAGCTAAAAACGGCCCTACTCCTATGTACCTGAGAAATCTTATTCCCTCATTTACTTGCCATTCAGACAATTATCAGATTCCGAGAATTGTTGGTGAAATATTCCATAGAAAAAAGGCATACTTAACCCCTCCAGTCCGGCATCAATCTGCCAAATTTTTCGTCACTATGTTGTATTTACAACAGTCTTAACATTTGTATTGAAACGCATGGCAAAGGTTGTACCACGGTTTGAGGTGATGGTGGCCGAACTACAACATAGTGCTGGTAATGTTGGCCATGGTGGCAAGGAAGCGCTTGGTTATGTTGCCTATGGCAGCAGTTCGACGAAGACATACAGTGCAATCAAGTGTTGGCGTGACCGCCGACAGGATTCCGACGAATCGAATCGTGAATAAATTACTGAGTTACTGAAATAAAACCAAGCAATCCATTGAAACGCATACTACTTGCTCTGCTCATCATCGCTACCGATGGTTCCCTCCAACTCACTGTCCAGTCGGCGTCGTTTCTGCGGCTTCGTGGCAGGCGCACGCGCGCGGATCATTGACAGCGTCAGGCCTTGAGGAAGACTGCGCCCACGCTGCCACAAGTCGAAGCAGGTCACTGGCGCTCCTTTGACGCTGTGCCTGGCGCGTGTGCAGAGGTACACACGCTTCTGGCCATCGCTGCACCCGCCACAGTAAAACGTTGTCTGGTAACCGCGCTTGCGCTCTCCGTGGAGCAGACTGCACACTTTGCAGGAGCGCTGGCGCCTTTTGGAGTGCTCCGTACCGTCGCTCTCCTTTAGCTTCGGCCACTCGTCTACCTCGACTGCTACATGGTCCGTCAGGCTGCGCGATGGCGGCGTCAGCGTAGGCGACATCAGGGCAACGCCCGAGGGTTGTGCCAAGTCTGCCTCGGTGAGCTGTAGGAGCTGCAGATGCAGCTCCTTGAGGAACTGGACGTGAATAAGTAGTGGTGTCTGCTGGCGGCGCTGGTGGAGCTCCCTGTAGATGATATAGGCATTGACGACGGCCATATCGACCAGCCCGAAGAACAGTGACTTGTAGCACTTGAGCCACCGGTTGGACAGCTGCAGCGAGTACCGCTGAAGCCAAAGTTGGTCATGGCGATCTACACCGCCCATCAGGCTCTGGTACTGCTTGACAAACTTAGGGCATGGCACCTCGACTTGCTGGGCACCCTCACGCCGAACGATACGCTGGAGCTCAGCGCTACCACCAGTAGTCAGGAATAACACAGTCCTATTGTTCCACCACACGCACGCCTTCATTTGCGGTACGCTCTTGCAGTTGACAACCGTATGTGTACCACGAGTCATGCCTCGGGGACGGCGCTTTCGCCGTGAGGGAGGGACAATTGCTTTGCAAAATTCAAGTCTATATCCAACATAGGCGAAACATAGAGTCAGCATATGGGTCAGCATAACGCACAATATAACTAACAGCATACCGAGTAGGGAGTGCGGTGCCCAGGTTGTACACGCTCATTACCAGCAGCTGGACTGCTAGGGCTGCGCACGTATAGAATCGGTCTGTAACAACCAGGTAGTGCTCGGAATGCCCGCGGCCTAACACCGCACGCTTATTTCGAACATCAGCAGCGGGTCCCTCAGGCATGGAAGTAGGCTCAACACCTGGCAGCTCGCTGGCAAGTTGTTATTTTCCCGCGTAGATTTCAAATCTGCTAGTACAACATAAGCATCCGCAAGGTCGGTACCACTACGTAGGTAAATACAACATAAGGACTTAGCGTGAAACAAAAAAAAAGGACTGCGTACCGGATGCAGTACGCGGACTCTGCACAGCACGTCAAGGACATCTTGGTTCCCCATTTGTGGGGCTTCGCTTTGAGATAGACACGCGTCTTGTTGTAGGGTACGGCACGGGATCGCATTTTCCATATTATGCTAAACCTCCATTTAAGCGACAACAACGATGATAGGAGTCGCGTCGACCGGATCTGGAAGATCCGACCTGTCGTGGACGCTCTCCAGAAGACCTTCAGGAGCGGCTACGTTCCACCACCGCGGCTAGTCTTTGACGAGGGTATGCTTCCATCATTCTCATAATTGCCAAACGAGCCACGCGAGATGCCACCTTCGTCATACGTGCTCCAGTGATGGCTCATGCGCTCCCTGTTGGGCTGAATGGCGCGTGCGAGTAGAAGACCAACCATATGTAAAAGCTCAACGGCTTGAATGGACCGAATCTGCTGAAGAGCAGCCTTGAATTGAGCGCGTGTCTTGTCGGACGACGGGTTCTTGCGCTTATGCTTCGTGTACTTTGTGTCTGCGCGCTTGTTGATTGTGGAGAGATGGTACAGGCTCGACTCCCCTGCGATGTCGCGCCACAAGGCCGGCGGCTTAAAGAACAGGAATAGCGCTAGCGGCGTCTCTCCCACCTTCTTGATCGCCGCACTGGGGCCGTAGTACGAGACTTTGCGGCCAGGGTAATCACCACCGCATTGGGCAGGAACGTACGGTTGCTCGAGTATGTGATGAGCGTCAACAGATGCAGGAGACTCGTAGCCGGACAGCCCCAGCTCGCGCAATACGTCGCTATTGAGCGCGCCGGACTCCAACGCCGTGCTGCCACCAAGTGCACGAAGAAACCCTTCGTTGAATCGTGTCTCACCAGCTCCATTTTCGCCGATTGGGTCGTCCTCCCTGTCGCTCTCGTCGTCGTTGCCGTCCACGACAATCAGCTGAGCATCGTTAGCCTGCGTACATACAATACAACATAAGCGACATCATAGCATCCAGCATTAGTGGCAACATACCTCTTGCTGCTTGTCGAAGTCGTCAGCGTCAGAATCATTGCTAGAGTCAAAGACCTCATACGCGTCGGGGTCGTCGTCAGGCCCCATCCGGTTGAGAGAGTGCACGAGCTCATCGGCTACGTCGTCACCGCCGTCGTCGTCCTCACCAACTATGCCAATCTCGGGAAGCGCACTCACGCTAGGGACTGGACGACGCGGAGTGCGAGGAGGTGGTTGATCTTGGTCCTCCGTCTTGGTCTCCTCGTCCACACTTAGTGCCGCCTCTTGATCACAGCCAGCGTTGCTCAAAGCCATATCAGCTTCGTTGTCGTCCTCCATGGCGTCAGCTCCACCGCCGTTGTCCACGGGCATCACTACATCCAGCACCTGGAGTTCCTCAGGGCCGACGTCGCCCCTGGTGCCTGTCACATCGGAGTCTTGTGTGCTGATGTCCTGCGGCCCACTCAACCGATCGAGGTAGTTCTGTATCACTGCAGTGGTCCCGAGAAAGTAGTCCTCACCTTCCTACCGCGCGCATTTCCACCTGGGGGAACATAGCGGTGCTCCTGCTCGATGCCTCTCGGCGGGCCCGCCTTCCATCCGTTGCTTGTAAGCTCACGCCATAGTGACCTCCAATTTACGTCCTTTACCTCCATCGTCTTGCTATCCCCGCCAGAAAATTCCGAAGTGAGAGCGAGAGGGACCTGTCGGCTGGATTTCCCTCCGAAAAATACCCGACGGTAAATTACGGCTCTGTCAGAAAGGCTGCCAAGGTGCGGTGTCCATCACAGGGATTAGGTTTAACCCCCCCCCCAATGTTTTGTCTCTTGCCGTTGTTGGTCTATATGAAAGTTTGTATACGCCCCTTACAAACTTTCATATTAAATTTAGCTTATGTTGTATTAGACAACATAAGAGAATCACTAAGTCGGAGAATACAACATCCGGACTGGAGGGGTTAAGGTAGTATTTGCAAGTTTTATTAGGCAAAGATGTCATGGTACATGACTCTATTCGAGACAACCCAAAACAAAATGATACTTATGAACCTAAGAACGAATCGCGATTTAAGCACTATAAACGAAAGCGGGGCGTCTCCTCTATCTTTTGAGCCCTTATAAGCTGCAGAATGCTTAAAACTGAAGAAGTTGGGGTCGCTCAAAAATACTATCCTCATTTATGGGCCCTCGAAATGACGATACATTTAGAGGTGCTGTGAGCTCAATATTTTTCAATTTTAGAGATTTAAGTGCTAATTTAAAGCTCTTGTTAAAAGCAATTGAATAAGGGTAGTTTTACAGTTTTTTCGATGGAAGCTTACAATAAATGTCATTGTTTCGGTTAAGTTCGAAAATCAATTGGCCAACTTTAAGCTCGATTATCTCGATAACTCTAAATGGTTCGTAAGTATCATTTTGTTTGACGTTGTCTAAGTTTTAGACATCACTCCTCATTAATTTATGTTTTTTTTTAAATATCCGTGCAGTATTGATTGGATTTTTGAGCAAAATCAGTCATATTTTGAAAGATGGAGAAAAACTAAAATTCTCCATCTTTCAAAATATGACTGGTCGAAAAACTCAGAAGAAATTGAAGAAAGGATACTTCAAGTTTTGCCGAAAACCCCATAGCACTACTTTTTTGCACTACCAGCTAGTTCGGCTTGGCCCTATTCCACGATGGCGACACTCTTCTGTTCTATCGTCGGTGCAGCGGAAGGCAAGTTTGGCATTCATATCGACACGATCAAGTCGGTAGACCGTTTGAAGCAGGCGATCAAGGCAGCGAATCCGGATAAGATCCAGTGTGATGCTGACGAGCTGCAACTTTTCCTGGCGAAGCAGGGCGGTGCATGGCTGGATGGAATTGAAGCGGCTGGGGCGGCGCTTGATAAACACGGGCACCCAATAGGCTTCGCGCGGATGGATTCTATCCTGTGGTCCCAATGCTTCGAGGAAAATTTTCAGCCAGCTGTCAGTCACGTCCATGTACTTGTGGTGGTCGCGAAGGGTGGTCCAGTGCTAGAGGACTCGAGGAAGAAGAGAAGGTTGGAATATTATCCCGAAGGCTGGATAAAGGGCATCAAAGACTCGCAAATTGCAGTTCTTCCTGCGACCTGCAAAGACTTGAAAAAGCATCTTAAACGCGAGCTTAGAGTCAAAGTCCCCGTCAACGACAGATTATTCATGATAATGTCCACAAAAAACTCAGCCGGGGAATTGTCCAGTATTATGAGCAGAATTTTTGAAGCTCCTCAACAAGGACTAGGATGCATCACTGCTTCGATCCTAGGTGCTGTAATCGACCCGCTCTGGTTTGGCTTCGAGACCGCAGAAAAAGCCACATATCATTACTTCTGGGATTCACTTATTGCGGTATTGCTGATGCAGATATCAGATGGAAATCATTACCGGCGTTACTCAAACGAGTATGCTATTACTGGATCGTATCAGCCTGACCTATGCTTCTATTACAACAACTTCAAGAACAGCGACATCTGTGTGCTTCGAGGGGAAGAAAAAGCGAGAGGGTCGTTCTCGGTGCCGATCAAAGAACTGCATGCACACCTCATTTGGAAATACGACCCCGCACCATACATTTTTGGCTACGCAGCTGTGGGGCGCAGAATTTGCTTGCTGGTAATTACAAAAGACGAGACGACAGAGCATCGTGCAAAGGTGGAGACTATCGAAACGTACGATTTGGATAAACTCAAGGGCCGTCTCCAGTTTTTCCTTGCCATACTCAATCTTTCGACCCTGCTCCGTCCAATTGCGAATCTGATCCCATCGCTAGGCTGGACTGAGTACGGAGTTCTCTCGCAAGAAAATGGTGTGAAAATCGAGTTCGCGGAGAATTCTGTGACAAAGATTTATCCCTCCGACATGCCCTGCGGCACTAAACTTCTCAATTTGGATATGATTCATCGACGAATGAAGAAATATTCGGTCTCGAATGTTGCGGAGCTGATCGAGATCAACCTTCAGCGGCGAAGCGTGACACTGAAGCCTGTGGGCCTCCCATCCGAACCTGACAGTGTTCACGAGCTTTTGACTGCTTTACGCGATATACTCAAAGCTCTAGCGGCAATGCATGCAATCTCTGTCATGCATCGAGATTTGAAATGGGACAATGTGCTAAAGTACCGTGGCGAAAGCGATAAATGGTTTCTAATTGACTTCGATGAGGCGGCACTATCTCCAGCTGAACAAGTGATTCATTTGAGGGAGGGGTCGCATGCTCCAGAGATACAATCTTCGTCTCACACGATTAAGGTGGATATTTGGAGCGTGGGCTTCCTCTTGAAGACGTCAACTGTCCAAGATCTTCCTGTTGAGCTGGAAAGAATTAAGACTCGGTGTTTGGAAGAGGATCCGTCAAGCAGACCCACCGCAGAAACTCTCCTCGCAACCATCGAGTCACTTTTAGGGACTTGAGCCTCTACTGTAGGTTTTCACGCAGTAGAGTGAAAATGACAATATAGGCTGATCTCTCACAAATTTATACTTTCTGGTTCATGCAAAAAAACGAAGCTTTCATCATTGAAGCTTCACTTTTTTAGACCACGTTGTCGTAGATGTCATAATATGTGAATGTCTTTATTTCGGAAGATGTCGAGACTCGTGGGCACGTTGAAGAACTTTACCAGCACCGACCACCGAGGTATTCTTTGATCGCGAGCGCAGACCTCCGACACCGAAGCTTCGGATGCTATTTCGTCGAGTTAACATGGTTCGGTCTGGAGCACTAACAGGTGCAGCCGCCATCGCATCGTTCTTCTCATCGCGGATTAGAGGCTCCTTAGGAAGCGGTGAGAAGCATCCGATTCGCTGTTTCACCTCCGGAGCAACGATTTGTCCGTTGTCCGTGGGTGGAATCTCCGTACACACAAGCGGTGGAGGGTCTTTCGGTTTAGACTGGGCTTGCGGACTCCACTTTCGAGCAGGGACAGTGTAATTAGCCTTGAGCTGCAGAGTTTTCTTGGCGGCCCCAGTCGTAAAGGTGGCACTTTTCATCAGATTTGTCATCAACACTGGTAAAGACAGAGAACTCCCTTCTCCTCTAGCGCAATACGACGCAAGAGAGGTCGTTAGTGCTTGTTGCCCAATATGTTGGCGGTGATGACTCTGTTTATGATGATCCGAAAGCTTAGCCAATGTTCCAATAACATTGATCTCGGGACAATCCTTCAAGTATTCCTGAAAATCAATACTGCAAAGATTCGAGATGAGTTCGAAGCAGTAGTTAACCATCTCACCTGTGGCATCCGCACGGTCAGCGAGCTTTACGATGCACGGTAACACACCATCTTGAAGAAGCCGGGGAAGGTGGGTCTTACAACTAGATAAATGACACAAAGCCGCGAGGATATTTGAGCTGGCATCATTGACCATGCCGGGCAGGTCCAATATGGAGACCATCGCACTTGCAATATGTGCATTGAGCAAGTAGCTCTGGTTTCCTGGTGCATTGCTCAGCTTCCGCAACGCTGTTGTCACGAGACGATAATAAGTTGGGGAGAAGTGTTCACTACGTATAAAGTGAAGCAACACTCGACCGGCGTGGTCTTCGAGTACTCGGGTGGAATTCACTTTCCCGACGGTAATGTTACAGATCGCCACCGCAGTTGTCTCCTTGAGACCATCGTTAGGACCGAAGTAAATATCATGCAGTGTAGCGACAGCGTGACAAGACACAAGGGCAGCAAGAACGCCTTCGTCGACAGCAGCATGGTAGCAACTGAGGTTGTGAAGTACGAGACAGCACAGCTGCATGTTGGCAGAGCTAGCGGTCGTCGACTGCGGCGGAGAATGAGCTGAGCTCGCACTTCTCCGCTTCTGCGCAGCCAAAGTGGTTTCTGTTAAAGGCACTTGCTGACGCAAGAAAGGCATGATCTCGGACTGCACGATCATCGGAAGTGCTGCCAATTGACACGACAAGTTGTACAGCGCAGACAGACAGAGTGTCACAATGTGCGTGTTGTGCGTGTGGTGGCGCTGAAGAACTTGGATCAGTATCCGTAATATATGTGGAACATCGAGCTCCGCCACATCGAGTGATGAGTTGCTCGTGAGGTCGTGTACTGTGAGCATGCAATTGCGCACCAGATCTTCGTCCTTCATATCGATGATCTGTTCCATCCAAAGGAGCATCGTGAGCTTGACTCTTTCCGGTGATATCACGGCGTCGTTCGCACTAGTAACACGCAAAAGAACCATCGCAGCTAGTTGTCGGAGCTCTTCACTGCTCTCAGGAGACGAGAAATGCATGTTTAAATGCTTCTCCAGTCCTTCATTCAAAAACACTTGACAGAGTTTCTCGTTCGCGACCAGATTCGCGATAGTTTTCACCGTCACGAGCACAATCGCAGCGTCTTCAGCGGCATCAGCTCCCCCGCTTTGAGATAGTAAGTGGACGAGAGCTTTCGGTGCACCAGCATCCAGGAACTTCGGGATCTTACTGGGATATGCTGACAGATTGCACAATGACACAGCACATACGTAGCTGACTTCGGGGTACTCGACGTGACACAATGAGGAGAGAGCCCAGATAATACCGTGGCCAACGAGTGATTGCAAACAATTTGGTGTGACGTCCACGAGGCAATTGGCAAGTGTCATAATGCACAGCGCCTTGATCGTGATACTGTCGGTCGCTACGAGTGCCAACACCATCACAGTTTGAATCGCCCCTTGCTCAATCAGTCGCGATTCAAGTCCGGTGAAGGAGGATAGACGACATAAAGCAAGAGTACACAACTCTTTCATCGTATACGCTACTTCGCCATCACCAATCTCAGCCTTTACCCCAGTGTTTGTGGTTCGAATTCGTGAAAGATGAATAAGGTCTTCAACCCCCCGCTCCTTCACGAGAAACTCACATCCTTCCTGAGTAGAAGTGAGACAGTAATACACGAATGCACAGTTGGTCAGAATGGTGTCGTCATCGCCCTCAAACTCCATCCCTTCCTCCTCGCTCTCTGCACCGATGCATATCGTGTCATTTTCATCTGTCGTTCCATTTGGTGCCACCTTGGGTCTTAAGCGATTAAGTTTTTTAAGGAAGCGAAACACTGCTCCATTGCGAACAAGAGCTGCTCGATTCTTCGGGTGGTGCGCCAGATGTGCCAATAAGGTGACACCACTTCCGATTGTCGCTGGATCGCCCTGAGCAATATCGAGGTTGGTCTTGCGCTTCACGAGTCGTGCAGGAATCCCTGGTTTCATCCACATCTTTGCTGCCATCTTGAGCTCTTTACCATTGCTCAAAAGCGCAAGTACAAGCTGTGTCAGTTCGTCACCGCCGTGAGGGAAATCATCTCCGCCATTGCTAGCTAGCAAGAAAAGCGCGTTCAGAGCGTAAGCTCGACACATTGGGTATTGACGGATGAGATGTACCAGTTGGGAGAGGAATCCTCTTTGTAATAATTGAGGAGCACAGCTGACCAGCCCTGCTAGTCGGTACACAATGGCAGCTATCAACTCGGCAATCTTCTTATGAACGGGATCAGTAGCAATTTGTAACAATCGATCCAGTAATGAATCCGACTCACAGAGGAGAGGAATGCAGTCATCACAGCACGAAATATTGTAGAGAGACTCCACGGCGAAAACACAGTCTTGCGGGTTCGACGACCGCGTCAGTGACAGTAGTAACTCGATCAGCTCTGGTATGTGGATCGCCACTTCGTCTGTAGAGCTTAAAATGAGGTAACAAAGGGAGCAGATCGCGTTCACTTTGACCGTCGGTTGAGACATTCGACTCATTTCCAGTAGCACGGGGACAGCACCTTCTTGGATTAGATCATGGTGTGTCAACACGCTGTCACACAAGTTTCGAAGGAGACACGAATGCAGATACACCAGATCTCGGCTTCGACTCGACAGTGACTTTGAATCATTTTTGATGTGCTGGGTTGTCGTCCGTACCAGCGAACGGATCGGCAGCCAGTTGCAGATCTTGATACGACTTCCTTCGTCGGCGGACAGCTGCAACAATATCAAGAGTGTGATTTCTTGAATTTCATCATTCGTGGAAAGCAGCATCGACTCTAAGAGCTCACAGAATTGCGATGAGATCAGGAGTTGCCGGTTGGCTTGCACTTCACACAGTGAGATAAAAGAGCGGAGTGCCCAGCCTTGAATAATAGGAGGTACCAACGGAATGTGTGTAGCCAGAAACCGGGGGATATTGTCTCCGATTAGAGCACAGTGAAATATTGGTACCAGGGACGCATTGTAGATCGCCTTGATCAAAAAGGTAGACGAAGAATTCATATCTGTTGTGTTCAGCAGGCTGCTGCCACCGATTCCACCGTTAGCTTTCGTTACGGCGATTAACAGCTGAGAGAAAACCTCTCGGAAATGTCGGATATCCCGCGCATCTGCCGATAAATTGAACACAGTAGCCGCACAAATGCGCTTGGTCTCCCAACTAGGAGACGTGATTAAACGTAAAAGTGAGCGATCGATCCCTTCGAAAAACAAAGCTTCGACGACATTGTCTTCTTCGGACAGATGACACAGAGTGGCTGCGATATCTTGTCGAGGAAATGGCAGTGGAGTCCGTGAGAGCTGCTTTAGACTTGCAACGACGTTCTGCGCGATCATGGGCTTCCGGGCAGCGTGGAACCGAGACAAATAATAAAGCGCTCGGCAACAATGTCCCTGCGTAGCTGCGTCAGAACTTGCGCTCAATGCCAGCACGGACTGAATGATACCATGTTCCAATAATTTGTAAACACCGCTGTCGATTCTTGAAGGGTGCGTATCCCCATCGGTGGCACTTTTAGCTCTAGATTCTGAGTCAGGCTTCAATCGAGCAGCAATCATTTCTTCGAAAGTTCTAGCGCAGCGCCGCTTCCGAAGAATAAATGCAGCTTCGTCAACCACTGGGACTGTTCTGATCGCAGAGTCACTATTGGAGCCTGACATCAACGTGGGCGCTGCAGATCGAGCTCGTTCCCGCTCTGCCAAAAGCTGTCGTCGTCTTTCCCTCTTCTTGGCCTGGATATACATTGAAGGCGTACATTCCTTTGCACCTTCACTACTAGGATCGTCGTCATTGCTCTTGATTTCATCGGTATCGCCCCTCTTGTCTTTCCAAAGAAACGCAGAAGAAGTTCTCCGGTTCGTGATTTCCTTGATCGGGAATCGTGACGAATAGAGCAGTCCATCCAGTGTGGCCTCCTTGCTAGAAAACTCAAAGCTGTTGTCATTCTCACGCAGCGCTTGATGTACACGACTGTGTGTTGTGGCAGCTGCTGTCGCTGGACGTCGCAGTGGTGACGATGCAGATAGTTGAGGGGTTGAAGTAGCTCCAAGCAGCAGAGACCGTCGAAACGATCCTTTTCGAGTTATTGTGGCAGAAGAGAGTCGCCGAATAGACGCAGATCGAGCAAACACTACGCGATCAGCTTCGATGCGGTCGTCGCCTCCTGTTGCTGCGGGTTCCTCGAAGATATTAAGTTCTTCTGAATCCAGATCACTGATACGGGCAGGCAACATCGTGATTGTGAATACTTGACTTGATCTCCCAGCTCATTCGTGTGAGGCAGCCAACAATTAGCCGATGTCGCGCAATCAATAGAGATCGCTATCTATTTTTGCAAGCAACAAAGCATGACTCATCAGTTACAATACTGAAGTTGCATATTTCGGGCTGAGACGTACAGGACTGGAACCACAGTGGCAGAAGCACCAAAGGCATGCCTGCGCGTAGGTACCCGGCTCCTCCGGATTTGTCGGAGTTGCTGAAATATTGTCGATTTCGACGAGGGCAAAAGTCAGCGAAGTTATTCTAACTGCCATTCATCCTCTCAATTATCCTTCTCAAAGCAGGGCTGTCGAAAAAGGGATTGTGATGGAGTTCTTTCATAATGTTCGCTATTTTGTAATCAAGATGCGGAGGACTACGGCATAGCCTTGGACCCTATCATTTAGCCCAACAGAACCGACAGTCCGAGCGATGCGACTAGCGCACTAACTGTAATAGCGAGGCTAGTAGAGCTGGACGTCGGGGTTGGAGTTGGTGTGTTTTCACTGCTGCTTCCACTCGATGCGTTTCCTTCAGAGGATTTCACCGCAATGGCCTTCGCTAGCGACGGGTACTTAAACGAGGTTGGCGCCACCTCGCAGCCATTTGCAGCAGCGTTGCACACAGTACAGATCTGGCCGTACAGCTCGCGCTTGCAGCCATGAGTTGCAGTAGCGCACTTCTTGACGTTTTCATAGCATTTTGGGTTCTCCGTGACCAGATCGTTCACGGCGGGAAGTGATTTCATGTGGCCAATGTCGTCGCTGGTAATTTGAGATGACTTTTTGGACGTGAGCATGTCTCCATAGGCTGTGAGCAGCTTTTGGGCGCGTTTCGTGTTCTCCGAAGTCTCGGAAGGTTTTTCCCAAAAAGGAAGGCTGTCAACCAGCTTGTTACTCTCGGTCTTGAACTCAACTCCTCCTTCGGTACAGAACTCGGAATAATTGGCATAGGTCCCGGTACCGGCCTTGTTCTTGAGGCTTGTGATCCCGACAACATCGTCGAGTGGAACGTAACCAAGCACACGGTAGTTGTATGTGCATTTGATACCGTCGGGCAATTCTTTCAGATCGCAGAGGCCTTGACGCGTATTCGCGCGGCATTCCGCCGTTTTCGTTTTCCACGGTTGCAACGGACAAGTGTTGGGGAACGAGTACCACCAACAATTCTCGTACGGCGCTCGACTATCGGTCTGTTTCTCACTTCCGCCAACGAATGGACCGACACTAGGAACATTCAAGGTGGAATTGCCGTTCAGAGAGAGACATTCCTCTGACTCTGTCCCATTGACTTGATTGCACCGACCTCCGTCCATCGCTAAGAAAGGACCATACTCTGCCTCGTATTCCGCCAAGGTTTCGTTGGTCTGTGCGACGACGATGTCGTAGAAGACGACGTACTTCATGTTGTTCTTGCGCTCGCACTTTGTGGATTGGTACGTGACGTCGATGCCCTCGGCTTGAACATACATCAGTGCTCCTTCGACGGAGGCAGTGTTCACGGTGTCGAGTAACCCTCGGAACTGCTCTTCGGCCGTCTTGTAGTATCTCGAGCCAAACGTCTCGGTGGTCGCATTCCACAACGGAGCATCACTCTGCACTCGGGCCTGCACGACGTGGACGTGTTTCATGTGGTACGAGTCGGAGTTTTCAATCTTGGTGAGGCCATCGATCCACGTCGTCGCACCAGAAACAGTGGATACTGTTGCAGCAGCTACAGCGATGGGAATGAAGATCTTCATGTTGATTCTTGATTTGTGGAGCGCAGGCTAATGGCTGGGCCAGAACTTGTGGAGAGGACGGGTTGGGCTATGCTGGCTGGAACGCTTTTTGGAGAATGAGTGGTCTTCATCTAGTGCATTGCCAACTCCAGTACGACGTACTCTCTAATTTTGGCTTCAACAAGGTCGACAAACGAAGATAGCAAAGGTGCCTCTTAATTATTGATAGAAGAACATCAGTGGTGGCATTCGTTCAATAAAAATAGTTTTCCGGGTAAGACCAAATGAGTGAACTGGTTCACGATCTGGTCCTGAAGTAGCTCAACTGACGCCACCTAAACATTGTGGTCATCGTTGATAAGGATAGTTGATACCACCATTGTTTCGGTAACGACACTGCGATCTGACTAACACCTACTTGTTCTACCGGCAGGGGACTGAATAATACATTTCATGCTTTCTCATTTCTTAAAAAGGTCCGCAAGGGAAATCTACTCACTAACAAGCTTCATCATGAAGATCTACGTTGCCGTTGCCGTCTCGGCTTTGGCTCTGTCGACCGCGAATGCAGCTTCAGACCGAGAAGTGTCCTTGTCTGGAAGTCACTGAACGCCCGTTGTACCGCAGCCGCGCGCTTGTCGCTTCTACTTCGACTAGCTATATTAGCTCGCTCAAGAAGATCTCCAACTTCGATAACTACCACACCAAACCAGTGCGAGTGATTCAAGCTCGGGTTCAAAGCGATGCCCCGGTCTGGAACGCGACGACCAAAACATTCGGCTCCAAGTTCTACGACACGGCTGAGGAGCAGCTCCGAGGGGCACTCGACACTGTGAACACTGCGTCAGTCGAGGGTGCACTCATGTACGTGCAAGCCGAGGGAATCAACTACAACACTCGAAGCGAGGAGGACAGATGCTGGCGCAAGAACGGGATGCAGTACGTGGTCTTCTATGAAATCGTCTTCGCCCAGACCAACGAAACTGTCGCGGAGTACGAATCGGAGTACGGTCCGATGCTGCCTATGGACGGTGGCCAATGCACGCCGATTGCTGGAACAAGCGCGTTCTCCAAGGAGTGCGTATCACTCAACGGCAACGCCAGCGTACCGAACCTCGGGCCTTTTATCGGCGGCGAATCCAAGGAGACCGATGCGCGTGCACCGTACCCTCACTGTTGGTGGTATTCATTCCCCAACAACTGCCCCCTTCAGAAGTGGGCGAACAAAACGGAGGATTGCCGTGACTCAAGTCGACAAGGTCTCTGCGATATGGATACACTGCCGGATGGTATTTCGTGTACGTACAACTACCGGGTTCTCGGCTACGTGCCGATTGACGACGTCGTCGGCATCACCGCCATGACGAATAAGGCTACAGGTAACAAGTACTCCAGTTCTGCGAGGCCGGTGGCGTCGAGTTCCAAGCTTCGGAGGCGGGTGTCTGGAATGCCAGTATCACCTTCTGGAAGAACCCGCAGAACACAACGGCCAATGCCGCACGCACAGAGAAGTTGCTGTCGACCTACGCCAATCTGCTCAAGACCAACACGTCGTCGCAGATTGAAAGTGCAGTGATTAAGCACATGCTACCACTCCTGAGCTCACTGCCGGAAATCCGCCATGCTACTTTAACGTCAAGGACTGCGACTCGGAGTTTGGCTGCAAGCGCCAACACTACGGACAGATGTGCACGCTCTGCAGCAGCACAGCCACGGGGTGTGTCCCGCCTCCTGAGAACTTCACCTTTCCGACTCTACAGAAGGCGGCAGTGTTATCAGCGGACGCAACGACGGGATCCACTGCGTCAAGCTCCATCCTGGCGGCTGGTGCGGCTTTGGTGTCCTTTGCTTTTTCGGTTTTACTTGCCTAAGCAGCCCACAAGGCGACAATTATATCTGAAAGTGATCCTGGAGGACAAAACCCACTTCAACTGTACCTTTTAGGCTTCATCATCATTGTAGCACACTTCTCTATAATCGAATAATCATGTACCCATACCAAAATGCCTTCTGCGACAGACCTGAACGTTTTCTCTAATAAATATTATCCTCTCCAATTAGGTTTCCCAAAATCTATCAATTCGAATGAACGAATCACCGCACTTATCGGATAATCCACCTCCAGCCACAAAACCGATTTCGCCACCAGGATGCTCGGCGCCGCGAGTCTCGTGAGTGCTGCGCGGCGCACCGCCGCCCTTCGGGCGCTTCCGCTTAGCACAGCTAGATTTCCGACGTCTGTGCTGCCTGCGGCTCGTATAGAACGCTTCTTTGCGCAGCAGCAGCCGCGCGCCCGGTCTCCATCGTTCCTGACTTCGCTGGCCTCTCGCTCCTCCGTTCTTTGCCGCTCCAGCTCATCGGTTTCCAAAGCTTCTGGAGGCGAAGCGGCCACTGCCGAGAGCTTGTCGCACCTCGAGCGTCTTAAGGATTTGTGGCGCAAATACGGCATCGTTGCCATTGGCACGTACCTGTCCATGTATGGAGCTGTGCTCGGCTCCATGTACCTGGCCATCGATCAGGGCTGGCTGCGCACTAACAGAAGGACCAGCTCAAAGGGTGAAGGGCAGTCTGACGAAAGCTTTAACCTCGTTGCAACGACGAACAAGTGGGTTCTCAGTGATCTTCTACGTGACAATTTACTGTTGAAGCTGCTAAAAATCCTGTGATATTTGTGGTTTCTGAAGGTTTGTGAAGATTGCGGAGGATTTGGGCATTGCGCAGTACTTAGAAGTGGAGCAAGTGAGCTCGAAGACGGGGACATTCTTGCTGGCGTGGATCGCGACCAAGTTCACGGAACCTGTGCGCCTGGCGCTGACGATCGCGGTGACGCCACGCATTGCGCGTTTCTTGGGTCGCGCGCCTAAACTTCCACCCAAGGCGCCGGGAAAGATTGCTAGTATGATCAAGAAACAAACAGCTTCGAAGGAGAAACCCGAGGCGTAACATGACAAAACTTTACACACCCGACACCAACTCTTCATGCAGCATGTTGAGATGGGGCGAGAACCTTGGAAATGCTGTCTAGACAGGGAAATGCGGAAGTACGCACAGGGCTTTTTTGTATCAGCACCAGGTGTGCAGTTCACGATAGATGCTTATTCGGACATTATGAAGCGATCGTGCCTTTCAACTTGCAGTACATTTCTCGTGGATATTCTGCATTAACTGCAGCAACAAGTTATTGCGAAAGCCACGATTGAAAATAGTTCATGGCGCGACCTTTGGCTACAATTGTGATCTTGTCTGGATTGACCGACTTGCTGTCCGATCGCCGCTGTAGGTTGGCTGCTCTGACTGTGGTAATGGCGTCCTGAGCTTTGAGGTGTTGGTGCCACACAGGATGCGGCTTTGAATGACCGGGCAGCAGTACAACTAGCAGATACCGGTAGTCGCTTGAGCTCCCAGAGCTAGCAGGCAAAGGCGTCCGCCGCCATGGCCGACGCTTCCCCGCCGTACGTCTGATTGCTGCCGTGGGAGCTGGCCTGGTTGATTAATTCTAGAAAACTCACTGGTTTCCCCACGGTATGATGCAGTCAGGGGCCACCACCAAGGGGACGTCCACCGGGACAGCCACCGTCAGGTTACCCGCAATCGCGGGGTCCACCACCAGGATTTGCCCCACCAAGGCGTCCTCCACCAGGTATGCTATTCTGCACGAATGGCACTGTAAAACTGAACTCTTGATCTGAAATAGGAGCTCCGCCGGGTCGGGGACCGCCACCAGGTACTCAATACTTTCAGTGCAGTATTCGCAGTGGAAGATGCTTACACGATTGTAATTTCCTGTGCGAGTAGGCGCTCCTCCGGGCCGAGGACCACCACCAGGTTAGTGAGATTAATATTGATTCTTTTGAAGTTAATTGCTAAGCGTATGTATCTTTTGGGATGAAAAGGAGCTCCACCACGCGCAGGGCCCCCGCCAGGTACGTTATGTGTTACGATACGTCACTCGGATATACGAGCATGATTGCCAACACCACGCACAGGAATGCCTCCGGGAATGCCGCCGGGAATGCCGCCGCGAGGAATTCCGGAAGCTCCGCCAGGAATGCCGCCTCGAGGTATTTCTGGAGCTCCACCTGGATCACCGCCACCGCGCGCAGGAATGCCATCTCAAGGTACTCCGGGAGCTCCGCCTGGCTTGCCACCACCGCGCGCAGGAATGCCGCCGCGAGGAGTTCCAGGAGCTCCCCCTGGAATGCCACTACAAACGTCGCCTGGCATGCCGCCTCGAGGAATTCCTGGAGCTCCACTGGGATCACCACCACCACGCGCAGGAATGCCACCTCCCGGAATTCCGGGAGGTCCGCCAGGGATGCCACCACCGCGGGCAGGAATGCCGCCGGGAATGCCGCCTGGAATGCCACCACAAATGTCGTCTGGCATGCCGCCACGAGGAATTCCGGGAGGTCCGCCAGGGATGCCACCACCGCGTGCAGGAATGCCGCCGGGAATACCGCCGGGAATGCAGCCGCGAGGTATTCCGGGTGCTCCGCCAGGAATGCCACGTCAATTATCTCCTGGGATGCCGCCGGGAATGCCTCCTGGCATGCCGCCTCGAGGAATTCCGGGAGCTCCTCCAGGAATGCCACCACCGCGCGTTGGAATGCCGCCAGGCATGCCGCCTCGAGGAATTCCGGGAGCGCCGCCAGGAATGCCACCACAAATGTCGTCTGGCATGCCGCCACGAGGAATTCCGGGAGCCCCACCTGGTTTGCCACCACCACGTGCAGGAATGCCGCCAGGAATGATGCCTCCCGGAATGCAGGGAGCTCCACCGAGGGGACCACCGCCACGAGCTCCACCGAGCGAGGTTTCGCCAGCGGCCGCTTCCCAGCATGCGGAAGGTACGATGGTAATGATCTGCTTTCATGGTTGCTGGCACTGACAATACCATCTTGCTTTGTAGGTATGATGCCGCGGGGCTTACCACCACGAGGCCCACCTGGCAGTTTCCCACCTACTAGTGTTGCGGCTGTACCCCCTGCAGGCGGTGCCGCTGCAGCTCGTTTCGGCAAGCTCTCTGTGAAGGTGTTGCGTGCGTTTGACCTAAAAAAGCTGGGAATGCTGGACACTGCAGACCCGTATGTGAAGCTCACGATCGGCACGCAGAACGTACAGACTAAGGTCCAAGCAGGCGGTGGCAAGACGCCTGAGTTTAATGAGACCTTCGACTTCAATATTGCAACCGAGAAGGAGCTCGTGGTCGAAGTTTGGGACCAAGAAAAAGGAGGACAAGACCGGTTCATGGCGCAGGCGAAGGTGGAGATCGTGTCGTGGCTATCAAAGGGTGGCTTTGAAGGTGACGTCGAGCTACGGGATCGCGAGAACAGCCCTGCCGGGAAGCTGGCGATCGTTGCCAAGTTCACGAAGCCCGAAATTGGCGCGACAGGACCCGTCAAGGCTCCACCCATGGCCCCTCCGATACTCTCAGGTCCTGCAGTGGCTCCGTTGCCCCCAGGAGCGAATGCCGTATCTGTTCCTGGTGCGCTGCCATTGGCACCGTCCGAACCGCCTCGAGACCCGAACGGCAAGTTCACCGACAAGGAGATTCTCGAGGCATTTAAAGCCTTTGATCTGGATCACAATAACTATGTGGGTGCTGCGGAAATCCGCCATGTGCTAATAAATATTGGCGAGGCGCCTACAGACGAAGAAGTAGATGAAATGATCAAGATGGTTGACAAGGATGGCGATGGCCAGGTGAGCTTTGCCGAGTTTTACGCGATGGTTACGAAAGGGAAGCAGCCCCCACCCGGATTGGGTGTCACTACAGCTCTTCCGGAGAAAGCTGCAGCTCCTGGAGGTGCAGTTTCGGGCGCTCAGGCCATTCAGCTTCGTAATCAGCGCAAAATGGCGCTGGAAGAGTTTGCACGCGATAACGGTATCAAACCCGAGAGTGTGAAGAAGGCGTACAAGCGATTCCAAGCCACAGATAAAGATGGATCGGGCCAGATCGACTACTCGGAGTTCTGCGAGGTGCTGCAGGTGGATCCATCGCCGCAGTGCGAGAAGGTGTTCCAGTTGTTCGACAATGACAAGACGGGTCGGATCGACGTCCGGGAGTTCATGATTGCGTTGTCTAATTTCACGGGTGCTGAGAAGGAGGAGAAACTAAAGTTCGCGTTCCTCGTGTTTGATGAAGATGGTAACGGTGTGATCACGCGACAAGAACTGATGAAGATCCTGAAGGCGAACCACATGGCCTCTAGCGAATCGGAAGTTGCGCGCAAGGCGGACACTATTATGTCCCAAGGGGATAAGGACGGCGACGGAGTTATCTCGTTCGACGAGTTCTCAGTTGTGAGCAAGAAGTTTCCTAATATTTTGTTCCCAGCCTACACGCTAGGTACGGCCAAAGATTAGAATACCCGATGAATACAATATCCTTATCTCTCGTATTAATAATCGCAATTTATTGTGCATTTCAATGCTTCTGTCCTTTTACTTAGCCTGATGCATCATTTTTAGTAAATAGAGGTCGTTTTATTTAATCGAGGTCTATAAAAAGCACAAATTGATCTAGCTAGACTGGCTGATAAATTGGGCTGCGAGTGTCAAATCAACCACCAAATCCACATCGATATCCTGTAAATCGACCATTTCTGCCGTTTTGATATGGATGAATATAATCAGTTATCCGACCTCACTTAATTTTTATATGGGGCATGGGGGCTCATTATCGACCAATTAGCAATTTGTTATTAGCTTGACCCAATCGAAATTCTTCAATCTTTTATTTTAGGCCAATCAGAATGTGGAAGATGTGGTAGGTCCTCTACGCCAGCCATTCTGACGTATCGGGTCGGAGGCGGACGAAAAATATGTGTATCCGTCTACAAACGCCAAGTGAAAGGCATATCACTTGCATATTTGCAGCCCATCCGTCTTATCCGACCAGAATGGGCTTAGACAAGCTAAAACCTGGTAACACCAAGCGTGCCAAGGAAACAGCCATCAAGGTGTTTAAGACGTTCGTAAAGAGCGAAGGTGTTGAGTTTGACTATGTTAAGCAATGCATTGAACAGGATGGTACAGGTAATTGTTTGGTGTCTGTGTTAGATAAGTATGGCATGTATCTTGCATTTAACGAGGGCAAGAAGGGCAAACCACTTGCCCGGAACACCTCCATGCAGTACTACCGACAGAGTAAGATGTGGCTTTTTGAGCTCTTCCCCGTGCAACGGCACATTGTCGAAGCAAAGTTGCTTAGCATGGGGAAGACGCTCGAACGCTTTTGCATGAAGCGAGACGGAAATGTGGTTAACAAAGCACCACCATGCTCAAAGAATGACTTAAGAAAAATGATGCTGTATTTGTATGAGAGTGCATGTTCCCCTAGCGACTACCAAGATGCTGCCTTACTGTGTCTGATGTGGCACCTGTTCGGCCGTGCTTCCGATCTGTCGCTTGTGCACAAGCCAAACCTGTCCGTCGATGCGGCCGACGTGTTCTTCGTACGCTTCATCCGAATGAAAACGTCCGAAGAGCAGGGGCTCTCGCTCTTTCCGGACACCGACTTCGTCACGTGCCCGCTTCACGCGATTGCCATGGCCCTGATCACGCAGTCCGCACCGACACCGGCCTTGATCGACAACTTGCCGGAGATCCCGATCGAGGCCGCTGTTAACCTGTCGCCGGAGACGCCACTGCTTGAGGTCCTGAACCACCCAAGTGAATTCGCCGCGCTTGACGCCATTGCTACGCGCGCCAATTGCTCGACGAAGCCCGCCGCAGCTGTGCCGACGATCTACACCCACGTCAATCGCCTGCTTGATCGCGTAGCCTCTGCCGCTGGGGTGACTGAGCCACTGACATCCCATTCGTTTCGGCGCGGTGGGGCGCAGCACGTCAACGGCTGTGACGGACTCACGGAGCGCTGGATCTTCGACCGCGGCACCTGGAACATGTCAACGACAAACAAGGGGTTTAATTACATCTTCAACACGAGCAGACAGGACCACATGATAGGCAAGGCGCTTAGTGGTTTTGCCACGGGCGCGGACGTGGAGCTGCTGGACTTGGACGCGTTTGACGCCGAGACGCGGCTGAAGATTGCAGGTGTACAGCGGCTTCTGTTCGCAACATGCTACAAAATGAACAGCTCCAAGTACAACTTCAGTCCCGAAGTGGCGGATGTTCTCACAGCGTACCTCGTGCTGCACTACCCGCTGCTAAAAACGCTTCGTTCCGGTGGCCTTGCCGTCAGGCGCTTGGAGACGGCTGTTGTCCACGCAGGGGCTGCGATTGCAGATCTTCTGGCATGGTCGTCACACCTCGCCACCTACAAGAAACCTGCGCCAGCACCACGCAAAGAGCCACCTACGCCAATGCACAAGGAAACAAGCAGCGAATCCAAGATAATCGATCACCAACGGAGTGTGATTAACCAATTAATGCTGCACATCAAGCGCCAAGATGAGCGCATGGATGTCATAGAGGCTAAGCAAGAAGGGGGTACAACACAAGACACGAACAAGAAGCGTAAGCAAGAGCCAATCCAAGTACAAGAGAAAACCAAGCGCAGACGGACATCAGTGACTCACCTTCACGCAACATGGTTCGCGTGGTACGCACGAGAGCCCTTAGGATTGGCTAATGCCCCCAAACGCCAGCGCTCGAACGCGAAACAGCTCGTGGCCTTCATGAAGCTGTTCGTAGCTGACGACTTAAAGCTGGACCCAAGCGCTGTCAATTACCGTGACCAAGTCCTCGCGCTCGGCAAGCAAGCTGAAGCAGCGGTGCTGGCATTTCTCGGCAGGCTTGAGATCAAGTCGCGCGGCTCCACGGCAGTTCGCAAGCACCTCCACGACCTATATCAGCGAGGCGCCCTCAGCGACAAGATCACGCGTCTGCAGCAGCTGCGCAGTGCTGCAGCCGTCCAAGATCCCGATCGCCAGGATGGCCTTGAGCTTGTAGCTAGTACGTAGACACTCGCACAGAACAAAACGACGAAGATAAGAGCGCAACACACGTGCATGTTAGCAAACTATTAGTCATCGAAACCATGGCACCAACAACGCGCACAAGACCCGCTAGAACCCTACAAAGCACGCAGCAGCATTGGCACGCCGTACACGATTCATGGCTGCAGCACGTGGCACGATTCCACCTCTGGGATGATGACGGCGGCTGGAGTTGAACCAGCTACCTCAGGGCAAGCCCTGCGCTCTTCCGGTGAGCTACGTCGTCGGGAGGGGGGGGGGGGTGGAGGTGGAAGCGGCTACCTGCAGGGCCAAATTCGCGACGAGTCGGGCTGGGAGGTCTGGGGGGTTCGGCCTGAAAAAAGACGACTGGCAATGCTCCCTCTTCGTCGGCCGAGCCGAAGAGCTACTGTGGCCTTCTTTAGCTTTCTGTGGCTGCTGGCCAACAGCTAGCCACGTGTCTATCCACTTATGCGTGGGCATGTTTGTAGATATTTTTACCAATAGGCATACACAGCAGCGACTGGTCGTGAGCATGCTCTTAATAGTGTCACACTATTAAGAACACTATTAGTGTGGACTCCGCCACGAAAATCATGGACTCATTACTGAATTTACCTGCCCGAGAGCACATGGCTTCGGCCCAATTTGATCGTTTTTTACCTTTTCTTGATTTTCTCAGCCCACAGAGCGTTTCAGACAGTTTCCTTGCGCCTATAGACTAGGCTTAAAACAGACTTTCTGACCTTTCGCATCTTTTCCCATCTCCCCTAAACATTCAACAATTACCGTGTTTGTCAGTCAAAAGTTTTGGCACGCTGTACAATTTTATGCATGGTGTACCATTTTCTTGGGACCGGTCGGAGAGGTCCTCCAGTCGGATAAATTATGGTATGGTAATTCGATTACAGATAAAACAAATCGATGCTTGCGTCTTCCCATCTCATTTTTACGCGTGGTTTTATGCTCTGACCATGCTCGAGCTAGGCTATAAAACGGATGAACATTCCATCTGCAAAGCACATATCTTTTGCAGTAAAACTGTGAATATTTTAATTATGTCTTTTTAGAAGGTCGCAGGTAAACCTCGCAGCACAGGTAAAGTTTTCGCAGAGTATATTGCCTGTCGGCTTTGTGGTAAAAGCTAATCTGACTGACATTGGAGATATGCGTCCCGACTCGAGCTCTACGTCGCTGCCACTGGCGTCCCAGTAACAGCAGTCTACCGACGATCTACACGAAGACTACACCAGCTTGAGCAAACGATCGTACGTCAGAATTTACATCACCGGCGCCAACGACGCTGTCGATGATGGAGTATCGACAAGCAAATACTGTTGTGGAATGTTTACATCACGGCCTGTTGAAGTTCTACACATTTAGATACCTTTCTCCTATTTGGTATCTTTGTGTCTGTCAGGACAAAATAACTAAAAACACTTCTTTTGTTACCAACTAACGCTTAGGTCCTCTGCCAAGCGAAGACCTATTAATAGCCAAACACCTTGCTGAAGATCCCTCTGCGAGCCAAGGACTGTCATTTTTAGCTATTTAAACCTTGGAAGGCAAGGAAATGCAAGAGCAACATGAGTGAAGAAGGCAGTGACATCACGGAGATGTCAAGGACAGTAACCTTCCAAGCTACAGCTACAAAAAAAACTACTCGTGAGCGCGACTTAATTGAGATTAGTATTCCACGGCTCAGTAGAGGTTCGGACCAAGGGTGGCTGCGGCGGATTCGATAGTTTGAGCACCTCAGTATAACGAAGAAGTCGAAAACGGTATAGAAGTCGCAGCATTTACTGATTTACGATGAAGCATTGGATGCGTGGATTGACACAGCCAACGGTGTGGACATTACGAGCAAGGATGCTTTACAGGAGGCATGGTCATATGTTCGTAACCACATGTACCAGGAGCGTCTCAAAATGTTTTTCTGCTTGCGAAACATCGCAATGATACGGTAGCTTAATGTCATCAAAGAATGCGACAAATCACGCATATGCAGCTTACCTACCATTGTTTGGATGTAGCGTAGAATACCGAATAGTGCACGGTAAAATATTAGAACGCCCTACGAATAGAAGGACCCTCTTTTAGGGTCCTCTATAACAATATAGGACCGTCGAAAAGAGCGCGATAAAATACAGCACCGTCCGACCGAAGGTAGCTGCTTATCAGATGAAAGCCTGGGTTTGGTCAACTGCGTTAGGCTTGAGTAAGCTCTGCCATCCATCCCTAGATTGATTTCAAGCTTGTGTCTGTGGTGCTTCGCTGGCATCATTCGCCAAGATGCCAGCAAGACGAAAGAGCGTAAAATCATCATTAAGAGGCAGGCTATGACTGGATTGCCACGGAGGGTGGTGGCGTGCAGTCTCGCGCGGAGGCTCATTTCCGCCTGCGCGTGTGGCACATTACAGCAGCGTGCTTCCGTAAGTGGTGGCGCCAGCGAGAGGGAATACTGCCAGTGGCAGTC